TTAGTTTGGGTTAGTCTGCATTTTCTATGTAAAAAAAAGAAGCTATTCGTGCTAAAAAAATTTGAATCAAAAACATTAAAATTTAAAAAAATCGAAGTTTAGTTGAAAACCTAAACTAAAATGAATAAATGAACATGGTCCCCCAACAGAAAGTACATATTTTCAGATCATGATAACAGCAACAGAAGCTTAAAACCTGAAACTTAATAAACAAATAATCAGCTGATCAGTGATCATCTGGGTGGAACGCTGGCTAGAACTGACAGTAATGCGATGCGCGCGACTCCGAAGCCCTGTGACCGGGGTACGGCTAATGTCTTGTACAGTCTCACAGCCCTAATAATAGACCCCATCAATTTCTATTGACTTTCCTTCTTAAAAATGGTAAATTTCGGTTTCAAGTCAGTATTTTGGGTACTCTGACACCTCAACTTCGAGACTAGCAAACCATCGAAAAGGAAGAACCCAATGGTAAGGTAAAATCTAAAGTCCTAAAACCTAAAACCCTGAAAGAGGACAAATTCTTAGAACTTAAACCCCTTTATACTATAATACATATTAATACATCCATTATAAAATTAATATAGGAAAATCCCCTGAAAACCGTAAGTTTCCTTTTGTAAACAATTCCCCTTAATTAATTAGCCCATTAATGCTCTTTTTGAAAACGACTAATGAGTTTTTTTTTTACTGACAAATGGACCCGGTCGAATTCCCCTTTTTTATTGAATCCCAAATATTTACAAAAATACAGATATGCTAATCTAAATATTGATAACGAAAAGGTAAATTGAGAGTGATAAAAACGTTTAAATTTACTTGGTTACAAATTTGGGCTAGTTGAACAAAACGTGCTCTCTGCTCACATGACAAACCAACAAAATGGCGTAGATTTCGTTTCCAGAAAGTAGTTGGCTTACAAATACGGAGACTTTACGACCAAATCCAAAGTTTTCACCCCAAAACCAATTTAAACCAGCAACCACTTGAGTTCCCAACGCCTCCAAAATCCCACAAAAGGTGGATGTTCCAAGGAACGTAGCAAAGAAGGACCGCTGGTAAAATCTGCCACTTGTTGTTTGCTCAACGTGCGAATTTAAAAAGAACGATACCTTTCCGGCAATTTATTACGTGAGCTCAATATGAAAATTTTTCTAGAATTCCACTTTTTCCAAGATGCCCTCTGGTGCCAGATTTCCGGTCTTGACCAGGAAAACGGAACAATCAGCTTGAAACGGAACAACCCAAATCACATTGATGACCAACAAAACTCAAAGTTGTTATCAAATGTTCTCCCCTTACACCAATTAACCTTAATTAATTACTTATTAATCAACATCTACCCAGTCTTTAGTACAAAAACTATCAAAAAGACCAGTCGTTACGTGATCACAAGTACAGTGACTCTATTACTCACAGTGGTTGAGAAACGTCGGCAACAGCGCTGCCTGAAACGAAACAACAAGTGTCACTTAACCACACTTATTCTGCGGGAAATAAACAACCGGAAAATGTGGAAAATAGAGGAAATAAGGGTGGAGAAGCGATTTAAAGGCTGTGAAAGTAATGTGTGATGTTGCAGAATTTTTAATAATGGAAAATACGTGACTCGTAACTGTTGCCAATTGATATTTATTTGGAAGTGAACAAATCTTTTAATCGACATTTAGGGCCTTTTAGACGACTTTTGAAAGCCAAATAAAATAGATTTCGATCCTATTAGTAGGGCTTTATTATCCTAAAGCTACCCTGTCATCTAAATACAAAGAATTTACTCATTATTACCTCGAAAGACAAATATTAATCCTCAGGTATAAAGCTTCATAAATACCCTCACAATACCTGAATTAATTACCGAATTCATTCGAAATCTCAGTTACGTATTAGGCAAAATTTGAACGTAACATTTTCACTAATAAGGTAGCAGAGTGACCATCAAATAACGAAGACATAAATAAGCACACTAACAATGATAACATTTTAAAAGAGGTGATAAGTTAGGTTAAAAATGAAAAATGTCCCAAGCAAGTGGAAAATTATTCAAAACCTTATTTTAATAGACGTTTTGAACTTTTTATAAAGGGGGAAACGCTGATGTAAGGACTTCGCGTCGTGATACCGTCAACTCTAAAAGCAGCGCCATGACGAAGGGGGCCATTTTGGGTCGAATAAGATGAAAACTAGAGCCAGATCAATAGTTTATTGGCCAGGACTAGATGGTGACATTGAGAATATAGCTAAATCCTGAGCCGCATGCTCCATGAACAAGCCAGACCCTCCAAAAGCTCAATTTACCTCCTAGGTACCCGAAAAAGGAGATTTTGACCGTATTCATGTCGATTACCTTACGACCAGAAATCGATTGGTCGGTTCGTTTTCCAAATGGATGAAAGCTTTTTCAACTTTTAGAATAGAAGACTCCAATTTTGCCATCGAGAAAATCAGAAAAACTTTTGCTAGTTTTGGACTATGTAAAACCTTAGTTTCTGACAATGGAAAGTCTTTCACGTCAAGAGAGTTTCAAAATTTCTTGATGAGAAATGGCGTAAAGCACATAACCTCGCCTCCGTATAATCATCAAAGTAATGGACAAGCGGAAAATGCTGTAAAAACGTTCAAGAATAAACTAGTCACTCATCTGAGGACAAGAACAACAAGAATGTTCCAATTTCAGTATTAATAGCTAGTTTTATTCAATTTCAGAACCACAGAACATGGCTCACAGGGCTAAACCTTTAGAAGAGTAACAGAGAAGTTATAATAGCAGAGTGCAAGCCTGTACTACCTTCTCCTACGTCTGTTTCAAATATCCGTCCTTGAACAATGCCATGGAATCAGGGTCCTTGATACATCTTTTACATTACGTAGAATTTTTCCAGGACCACTAGAAGCGCAACACGAACTTCTAGGGATCTATATGATCGTGAAAAAAAAAACAAACCAAAAACCTGCTGAAACGTGTATTGCGAAATAACTTCAAGAAGATTTGACAGGCGAAAATGGAACACCAGGACCACCTTAAAAGCGAAGGAATAACTGTTATGGAGAGAAAACTGTATGTAAAAGTTAGGCGTCGATTCTATGAAGAGCTTACAAAATTTGATCGAATATTATTATAGAGTTTATCAATAAAATAATAATTTATAGGAAATTAAAACACATATTGCAGAATTTATTTAGTCATTCAGTGGCGGCTGGTGAGAGGAAAAGTTGGCGGTGCACACACTCAGGAGGTAAACCCCAAATTTTGATCTAAAAATTGTAAAAAAAACACGCCTAGAAATTTTTTTTCATTTATTCTCAATTCAAACGTGGGCATTTAACAAATCAGGGAATAAATGGGTTAGGTTCGAAGCTTTTTATAAAGGCAAAAAGATGATCTGAAGGTTGGATTTTGCCACAACATAAAACGTTTCTGTCATCTCTAACTCCAGAGTTAATAAACGAGTATTTTAGAGAACTTCAGGAATCGATTAAAGACGTTCCTCCAAAGTATTGCTTTTCCCTATTTTAAGAAATTAGGAGATAGTCCTAAAGCCATCATTGACGACAAACTCGCAAGTCATATATCTATACGAGTGCTAGACGAGTGTACAAAAAATGATATTAGGTTTATCCTACTGCCACAAAACAGCACTTATCTATGTAACTGCTCCACTTGGCAGATTTCAGCCCTTCGAAAGCGGCATGGAGAAAAATTCTCAATGACTACAAAGACAAAATATCGTGGTCCCATTCCAAAAGACAAGTTTCCGCGCAAATTGAAACAAACGTTATTTTAAGCCCCAATTCTGCAAAAAATTTGAAAGCTGGGATTGCAGCATGTGGACCCCTAAATCCCCAGGCGGTTCTCAAACATCTGACAATGAAACTGTTTCATAATGGCAAACTTCTTTCGAAAGCTTTCTTCAAGATACGCGTAAGTCTGAAAATCAAACTGCAAAAAAACGAAAAAATGTGAACAATGTCGTTCGTGGAAAAAGTTTGTCTCACAGCGATATTATTAACAATTAGGACCAATATAAAACTGAGAACAAGAAGATGACAATTTAGATGCCGAACTCTCATGTAGCGATAGAATTTCCATTGAGCAGGAAGATATTGAGTTAGATTTCGAACAATCTCGTAAGAAAAAGACTGAAAACGGCTGTGAAAACTAAGAAATAGGAAACTTTTTATTTGTGACATTAAAATACAGGGTGTCCCAGCCGAGACTGACATTTCAAATGCTTATAACTTTTAAACCAGGTGTGCTAGCTACCTGTGGTTTGCTCCATTCGACTTCTTTTGGCCTAAAGTTTTTTTTTTTTTTTTTTCAGTTAGCAGCCGTTTTTCAACATCGAAATTCTCCGTACTACGTGTTTTATGTGAGAAACACTACCAAAAAAGAGTATTTACTTGCGAAACTCTCTTGGACATGTTTAGAGTTAACCCGAATACGATGTTAATTATGTCTGATGATGCTAGTTTTCACCTGAATGGAATGGTAGGTGTAAGGTGTAACAAACACAATAGTAGGATTTGGGCATCAGAAAATCCAAGAGAATTTAACGAATTCAAGCGATATACCCCAAAAGTAACAGTTGGGTGCGCAATCTCTGCTGACAAAATATATGGACCATTTTTCTTCAATGAACAGCAACTGTATACACTGATATATTGGAGAATTTCTTTTATCCGCAATTAAGACAGGAGGGTATCTTGAATGAGATCTATTTTCAGCAGGATGGTGCCCACCCTCATTATTATTCAATATCAAGGGAATCACTAGATATGACATTTAGAGAAAAATGGATAGGAGGAGCTGGTCCTATAGAATGGGCACCTTACTCTCCTGACTTCACTGTTCCAGAATTTTTCCTCTGGGGTTAGAGTAATAAAAACGAGTCTAGGTACTTAGGACTTTGCAATGAGTGAATCCAATTAATTTTTTAAATTTCATTCAATTTTTTCATTAAAGTAATTTGGTTTCATTTGAAGTTCTATGAAAATATACTTACTTCTTCAAATGCTCAGTCTCAGGACACTCACAATCCTTAAAACAAAAACTCATCGACTGGCTCTCCAAAACATTAACTTTGGTCAACACGTCGCCGGATATCAGTCCATACAAGAACGCTAACGCCGACTGAAAGGTTCTTCTGTATCTTGTACTGAACACCAAAACTTCCTCGGGCTTTAGTTGCTGCAGTTTCGGCAAGATCTCATGATAGCTCTTGCGAAGAATCCGGCCCAAATTTAAGTGCTGGCTTACACCTTGCATTGTTAGCTGGCCGAGCTGACACTGATCGGGGTTTTGGGGCATCACAGGAAAGTTGTGAAAGGGGCCTGGGGCTGTCCATTGTAATTTGCCAGATATTGTTAGGTTGTAGAGATATGACTGCAAAAAAAGAAAAAAAATATTCTCAATCTTTAAATGGCAAGAAATAGAAACGCGGTGACCCCATAACAACCATAAATAAGAGGGTGAAAATGATGCTTTGATTGTAGCATGCGAAATGCTACCGTTCATAATATTTGTTTTATAAATTTAATTATTGCCTTGGATGCTGACATTCTCAGGCCATTTACTGCGTTACTCAAGAGAAGGTGTCTGCCGCCAGTATTTATAGCAATGTTTCTTTGTTTATCTAGATGCGCTTTTCTTCAACTTCGAAGTACCAGTTGGTATTAACACTTTCCGTTAGTTCTAATGAAGGGGAAGCTCTGCCTTTGACCAGCCCTTTGACTTTTTAATTCTGTTTAAGAAGACAAGATGTGCCGGTAGCCTCATCCTAACTTCAATTTTTATCGTTTTGAAGTAACTTATTGGCCGTCAGAAAACCGTTCATCGAAAGCAAGATGCCAAAAGGCTATTATTAGTCGATTACCAGAAAATAAACTGAAAAAGTCTCATGATTTTCCTTTTATTTAGGTTAGTATATCAAATCCCCTCGTGGTAAGTTTTTTTATCCATTAATAAATACAGATTGTAAGTACATATATTCCTAAAATTTTGATATTTCGATTTGACGTTTTACAATATTTCTAAGTTCCCAGCTCTTAAGACCCTATATAAATCATGATTAGCACATGGTACATGGTACTGAATCTATGCCATTTGATGTAGACCCTGTTAGTGCCAACCTAGTTGCTAAATCGAAATAGATACCTACTGGTCACTTCTTCGAAAGCAATGCCAAGTTTGGATCTCTATTATCATTTCGATCTAGTCCCTAAAATAAGATTATAACCTGGCTTTTAATGTCCTTATTCATATTTCCTAATTGACGCAATCTACATTTCCTACGTATACCCAATCTCCTTCAAAGGACTGCCAATATTCGTCGCAATAGGGCCAAGAGCTTTGGACAACGAAGTCTCTATCTTGGACCTAAGTTGGACCCATGGTACGTTGTCAGGTTTGAGCGCCTATTATCATTTCGTGATAATGCCTATCGCATACGAATCCAACCTGAATAAATGCTAAGCCAAACTATTGAGGCCCATTAATCGTCCAATCGTAAATTACCACACTTAAAAAATGGACTTCCGACGTCGAGAAGGCTTCTCTTCAAGTCAAACAGGCTCTTGTTTCCGCACCTGTCTTAAGTCAACGTGACTTTTCTGTGCCCTTCACTTTTCAGAGTAATGCTAGTGATGTTGTCCTTGTTCATATTATCGGTGGTGTCGAAAAAGTGATAGATGCTAGTAGGTCTTTCACTAAAGCTGAACGACACCTTAGTGCAACCCAGAAGTAATGTCTCGCTCTGTTATTCAATATTGATCGTTTTACATTCAATGTGTTGTCACGGATTGCCAAGCATTGCTGTGGCTAAATAATCTCCACATCCACCTGGAAAACTCGCGCGTTGGGCTAGGATGCTAAGGACTTATACTTTTCATTTCGATCTTATCGATATGGTCCGTGAAAATCTTGACAATAGGTATATTTATTAACAGTGACAGTAGTTGGGTTACTTTATTTAAAGTTCATTGGTTAATTGATATTGGTTGATTTATTGTAGGCTAAACTGGATGCTCTTTTTGCTAGAGCAATTTATACAAGTGAAGTTCTGCTAAGCTTAACAGAACACTCAGCTTAGTTCGAATTTTTTAAAACTATTAGGCCATCCTGTAAATGCCCTACCAGAAGAACACTTCCAGGGCCTTTATCAGATCAGGAATGTGACAGAATTTCTGATGACGTGAATTTTTCAATCACAGAGTAGAAAAACTTGGCTTTGGCTACTGATGCATGGAACAACATACGGTACGTTGAAAAAAATGCTGTAGAATCAGGGATGTTCTAAACTGCACAATAATTATTGTGCATATATTGATGCACACTTTCAATTTATATGCACAGTATGCACCCCAATCTCTAGATATGCACATTTTGATTTTTAGAATAATCACAATTATTCAGTCAATAAATAGAACACAAAATATTCTGAATTTGGGGTTTCATTTCAGTAAATTTGTTCTGAGTGTAAATACACTGTACATGGTGTTTTCTTATATTTTGACCCCTACCTACAGCTTTAGCTGTACGAGGTGGAAAAAAACTTTAAATATAAAAGTTGTAGAGTTTACGGCCAATTTCATAATCAACTTAAAGTAAACTTTAAATTTAAAGCTCCACTTGAAGTTGCAAAATCCTATCCTAAAAGTCTATTTAGCTAAAGTAACTTTTAATTCTCTATTATGAAATTGGCCGTTAATGTCTTTTATCTTTTGCGAATATCAAAATCGAGAAATGACAGGTGCCAACTGTCACAATGACAAATACTTGCATTTTTCAAATGGAACTCTCTGTATATTTTTGGCTAGAATGATAGATTTTTTTTTTTCTGATTCAAAATATACCATATATGTTGATATTTGGTTCAGCTGTTTTTACGCTATTCAAGTTTAAAAATGCATTTACATTACCCTTAATTTAATCTGTCCTGGTTTCTTATATCAATGATGAGGCTTGCTCAATGCAATTTTAGGAACTGCGCTAATAGACCTATCTATTTTTACCTGGTATGCGCGCGCAACAGGAGGCAATGCATTTTTATTGGCTAACTAGTACAGGTGTATTATTACTGGGAATACTAATTGTGCCCTTTTTGGCTGCTGTTATAAGGGTTCCATTTTTTTTTTTTTTATTGATGGAATTGTTTTCACTTTTTTCATTGTGTTTCAGAGACTTGATTTTTTATTTCGAAATTGCGTCTTTTAAAATCGATTTTAAAATATCCTCAACAATAATTATTTCTAAATTGCTGAGCTCTGGTGTTCTTATCTAAGTTCAAGCTCTGTTAGCATGAAGCCTTTTATTTCTTTTTAGTTTCAAATTTTCCATTGTCACATTAAACACTCCCGGTTTTCACAACCGCAATGAATACACGTACACTGGGCCCATAACCTATTGGGAAATGGACTAAGAAATAAAAGAACTTGTTAATTATCGATATTCAATATATTTATTATATCGAACACAGCGTGGAAAGCAGAGCGTGTGAACACATAGAAATAACTATACGAACTAACTCAACATCAAGACAAAGAATTACAAACCCTTTCTTAAGTAAACGATTCCTCATGTGTTTACCTTACATATAAAAACTATTATAAACACATTCAGTCATCCATAGCTGCGATATAAATTAGCAAAGTATAGGCTAATAATCAAAGTTTGATTTATTAATTTTTGTTTCACTGATATGAATATCAGTTTATCCAACAGAGAAAGGAATACATAACAAAGTGGCTATCCAGATTAAAAAAAGATAAAAACTTGGAAGATCAGACAAAAAAATAGGATATACAATCCAAACTAAAAAAAGCCCCCCAGAAGACCGCCCTATGGAAAGCTGCCGGAGAGGACTGTATACCAACATACTTGTACGAAATTTTGCCTTCAGCCCAACAATACCTAAGTAAATTTATTACAACTACCCTAGATAACTCCACGAGATTAACGCAACCAGACGCCTGGGCAAAGGTTATCCTGCTCCACAAGAAAGGGGACGAGTCAGATCCAGCAAACTACAGGTTAATATCACTCCTCAACACAGACTACAAACTATTAACAGCAGTCATCGCGGAGGTGATAGCCGAAAACCTTCCCAGCCGGGCAATTCCTAAGGAACAACTGTCCAGAAAAGGAGTATGGGGCACAACTCATGGTTTCCTACTCGACAAAAGCTACAGCCAGTTATCGAGGATGCATAGGTCGAACCACTTCTCTGCCTGGTTTAATTTCCAAAAGGCATTCGACTCGATCCACCATCAACAGCTAAAAAGGGTAATAGACTGCCCTTCCCTTCACGATAACATCAGGAAAGTACTAAAACAAGCAATGGGTTTGTGCTCGATCAGCAGGAAAAAAAAACAGACCAAACCAATACCCATCGAACGAGGCGTTTATCAGGGCGACTCCATCTCACCCCTATTCTTTAAGCTAATAAAAGCAGCCCTGATAAGTAACATACAAGCTTGCCCCAACATCCTTAAAGCCTCCAAAGGGAAGCACCAAATATTGGCATTTGTGGACGACATTAAATGCCACGTTCCTACAAAAAAATGCATGAAAATTATTACCGATGCACTAGAGGAGGGGACGAACGAAGTCGGCCTAAAACTACATCTACACCATTTCTCCCAGAAATCAGGAGGGATACAAATACTTGGAGCTAGAACAGCTAGAAAGGGACACCCTCTAAAATTTCGACGAAATAAACGCCAAAATAGAGGACAAGCTTGAACTGATCCTGAGGTCCAACTTAACAACGAATCCAAAGGTACTACTAATTAACTCCACCGTCAACCCAGTGATTACGTACGTCACCGGCAATATCTACCCAAATGAAAGGCGCAGCACCACTCTGAAAATATGCCGCGAACTTGACACAATGATCAGGAAGAAAATGGTGGAGAATCGTGTTAAGCGCCCCACTGCAGCAAACGCAAAGGTGTATCTGCCAACAAAAAAGAGGGGCCTCGGACTTAGATCGCTGGAAGTGGAGGCGAAGCTGCAATACATGAGGAAAGAAGTATACTTGAGCATGAGGGACGATATGGAGGCAGCACAAAGAGCATACCTAGCCATGCAAAAAGCGGGGTGGCGCAACCCACTGAGTGACTGCACGTATGTGATGGACAAGTACGAGTCTGACATTTAAATGGATCATTATAACGATTACAAAAGATGCTACGAGGACTTACTAAAGGACATAAAAAGGAACTATCAGACTAAACTAGAAGAAGAGTGGACAGCCAACCTGGCGTATGGCCGTAATGTCCTCAAGGAGGATGTCCAATTTTCTGCATATACGAACCCAAAGATGGACAGTTGGCGTCTGAGCCTACTACAAGCGGCCTCAGAAGAACAGCTGCACAGACTAGGGATTTACTTAAATAGGCATAAATGCATTAAGGGCTGCAAAGCCGACGAAACCGCTTATCACATCGCGAGCGCATGCCCAACACGAGCAGTGGCCTCTAGATACAACTTCGTCATGCACTGGGTATAAAAACCATATTGCAGACCCTGGAAGCTCCGCTGGAGGTGATTAGGAACTTCCAATTCGGCAAAGCCACTAGCCACTGTAGGTTTAGCCATGGAGGCAGAAAAAATAACTATAGATGCCGGCAACAAGTTCTTAACCGAAAAAAGCTATACTATATCAAGCCCGACATAACCATCAAGATGTCAAACCCTTCGGAAATAATACTACTAGAAGCTATGGTAGCTCACCTGCAGAACTATAAGACGCAGGAAAAAATAAAAGAAACTAGGTACTCAATAAAAAATCGACCACAAAAATGTCAAGAACATCGGCAGAGATTTAAACCAAGTGTCGGAACTGGAACGAATCCATAGGTGCCCAGTTTACTTGGGGGTGCTTGTGGCGGGATGCTTTGGCGAAATATTCCAGTCAGAAGCACATATGAATTGTCTGTCCTAGTGGAGTTTAGAGGGTAAGTGATTTTTAATTTATTGTTTAAACCGTTTTTGTATAATTAGTTTGCTAAATTTGGCCAGCTTTTGTAATAGTTATTTACCTAACAAATGCGGAAAGTGATACTTTACCGCACGCAAGCCGTTAAGGGCGGTAAAGGCACTTTCCGCATGTGTTAGGTACAAAATTTTACCTATGAGCATCTACAACTCCAAAAAAAGGCATTTATAAAATTAATTAATGAATCAGATTAATTAATGAAATTAGATGAAATTTAGAAATGATCAAAAATCCATTTTCTGAAAAAGAGAGGATTTTCGATTATAAATATCAAATTCTACTTTACCGCACACTATGCGGTAAAGTGCACTTTACCGCACACTTTGTATTCTACTTTACCGCATACTATGCTGTAAAGTTAACTTTACCGCACACTATGCGGTAAAGTGCACTTTACCGCATGGTGTGCGGTAAAGTGATACTTTCCATTTGCAAATACGTGCGGTAAAGTGCACTTTACCGCACGCTCGTAGGTAAAATCAGTTTCATTTACTGGTGATTCAACTTTTATTCGAAATTGCGTCTATCAAATTTTCATAAAATTTTGGGAAATTAATAATTTTTTAAATTTAGTTTTCACTTAAGGGTTAATTATTTGCGCTTTTTTTTAGTAAATTTGATTTATTTTTCGTTCAAATTTTCACGTTTTTTCAAATTCGTTTACTTTTCTGTTTTTAATTTTTAAATTAAATTTTCAAAGTAGGTATCTCATTTTATACCTATTCAATTTATCGATTTATTTATTTTTATATAGGTTTATTTTCTATTTAATATTTTTATTTGTGTTTAACTTTCTATTTTACATTTCATTTCCATTCTATCGATTTATTCGTTTTTCATATAGGCTTATTTTCCATCGCAATATTTTGATTTCTGTTCAACTTTCTGTTTCAAATTTCAATTCCATTCTATCGATTTATTTATTCTTCATATAGGTTTTTTCCATCGAAATATTTTAATTTCTGTTGAACTTTCTATTTTGAAATTCAGTGCTTTTCTATTCAATTTTTTGACATTGCCTTCTTCAGTTTTTTCAGTTTTCTATTTGAGCTTTTGTTTGTTTTTTTTTCCACATTTTGATTTAACTTTCGAATTTCAATTTTTTTTTCTAAATTTAATAACTTTTTTAATAGATTTTTTAAATTTACCACGTTAAACACTCATTTTGTTTTTCTAAATTTATTTAGCAGTTCATTCAATAGTTTTAGTTTTTTAATAATCTTTATTTATGTTAGTGGTTGTCAGTGATTTCGTGTAGGCCAAATTTTAATAATATATATTTTCCATGTAATCAGGGACCTTTGAGTTTATTATAATTTTCTTTTAATTGGGAAAGTTCACTTGCGGTTTATTTTATATTTTTCCAAATTTTTGCCAACATGTCGATCTGGAAAAAAGATACATTTGGCAAATACCGTGAAATGCAAGGGAATGGCAACTGCCTTTTCAGGGCACTTTCTGTGGGATTGGGGGAGAATGTTACACATGAGGAGTTGCGTGAAATTCTAGTCAACGAGGTGAGGGATAAGTGGGATGAATATGTTAATTATGTTTTTTATTTTAATAATGCGAACGATTATTATAGGGAAATTTCGCGGGTCACCACATGGGGTTCCTTTGCTGAAATTTTGGCCTTTTCGACTGTTTTACAAAGGAGAGTTGTCGTCATGAGGGACGGCCGCAAACTGGTTGATGTGGGTTCCCAAGATAACACTCCAATTGTATTACGTTATATCGGTGACAACCACTACGATTTAAACGAGGATACTGTCATTCCTCTACCCGATACTGTTGCTGGTTCTGCACGACCTCCTGTTTTAGTAGCTCCTGCTGCAGCAGTTTCTACAGTAGTAACTCCTGCTATAATAGCTCCTGCTATAGCAGTAGCTTCTGCCGCAGTAGCTCCTGCCGCTGCAGTACCTGTGAAATCTCCCGCACTGAAGCGACCTGCGCCACAACCGCGTATCGTGACCCCAAGTCAAAAATAAAAGAAAGTCGAGTTTGAAAAAAGAATTAAAAAGTAGAGGCTGCTTCTTGCTACGGATTATGTAAAGCCAGAGTGGAGCATGAGGAACGATAGAATCACAGAGTATTATCAAAACGCGTGGGAATTCGGTTACCGCGATTTTCAAGATATTCCATTACACCGGCTTTCGAAAGAAAAAGACTGGATTTGCAAACATTGCGGTGCTAAATTTTGGGTCACCAAATTGTTCAGAAAGACCACGAGCATGGAACAATGTTGTGGGTTAGCGAAACGGGTTTTGGCAGAAACTAATTTGTTCAGAAAACCTCGTGATCCTCAAATACTTTCCCAATATTATTGTAAGGATAGGGTCGCGAAGAGGCAAAGTCATTTTCACAAATTTATCATGGCGTATAATAGCATCTTTGCAACTGTTCATCGGCACTGGACGTTCGCTGGTCTGGGTCTGGGACAGCCGTCCTGCCGACAAAGCAGCGGTCGTCGATAGGCAAGTTCGGTTTATGGCGTCAACGCATGTAGCTGGTCTACATAATTTGAATGAGGCTTATCTCTATTTCATGGATGTGAGTGAGGAGGTTGTAAATGCTAGAACCAATTTGTCGACTGTTTCGACCAAGTTAGAGATTTCAATTGTTAGGATGCTGGAAAATTATCTGCGAGCCGAAAATGTTCTCATGCGTATTTTTAAAAACGCTGGAGACATTTACGAGGAGGAGAAACTGAAGGCTGCGGCGGAAAGTAGGGAGGTTCTTGAGGTTATCTTATGTGTTAACCTTCGTGACAAAGAGGATGAGGACGGTAGTCGTTTTGAATTTCAAAGACGTAAGGGTGCGGCGGCCAAGTGTGGAATGCAGTATCCTCGCAACGAAACCGTTGCCGGAGTATATCTAGGCGATAGACCGCTATGTTACTATGATGTCAAGTTCGCTGTGAAGCCATTGCAGGAAGATACGGCTCTCCCGTATAGGGAGGTCAACGTCTTGAGGTGTACTTTAGACCTCATGCTTCATCCACTCATCCATCTTCACGGAGAGTATTCATTTCAGCAAAATAACCGAGATCCAGTCAATTCCTTACGCGAGTATTATTGTGTGAGACTTTTTTCGAATTCGGTGTCTTTGGATAGTGTACGTTATTGCTACTTGAGCACGTAGGGAAGTTACGCCTGCAGTATCTTGTGGATGCGGGCGTGAAAATTGAGTATAATAATGTGAGTTGGGCGATAGGCAATCAGAGGCACATGCGCGCAGAAACCTATGCCAATCTGAGAGACTTTTTGTTAAAAGAAGTAGCAAGGAGAGGTTTGGGAGATTCGGTGCAGCTTCAACCGGTCGGTAAAATCATCGTATTACCGCCCACCATTCCAGGTTCTCGTAGGTATTATTTCAACGGGTACATGGATTGCATGGGCGTTTGTAGGAAATTGGGTAGGTCTCCAACCTATTTTCTTACATTCACTGCGAATCGGCAATGGTCAGAAGTTACCGAGGAACTCCGTCGGCTCGGTAAAGGAACGGATGACATTGCCAATTTTCCCGATATTTTGTGTCGGATTTTTGAACAAAAGTTGGACAGTCTTATGCGAGACTTGCTCCAACGTCAAATTCTTGGGAAGATTGAGGCATATGTGGTCAGGATTGAATTTCAGATGCGCCGTGCCCCTCACGCGCACATTCTTTTGTTCGTAATGGAACAGGATGTTCCCGATTCTGCGGAGGATTTGGATAGGGTGATTTGGGCCCGTTGGCCCGTACAATCTGATGGCGCCGGATACTAACGGTTGCGGGAATTGGTCGCCAAATTCATGATACACAATAAGTGTAATGTACCGGTGACCGACTTGCCCGAAGCTGATCGTGTCCGGGACGATCCGGACGATGCTGACATTCTCAAGCAGCCTGGTGAAGAGGAAAATCCAGGCCAGCTAGAAGACGACGTCGATGACGTTCCTCAATCGTCATGGCAGTCGCAGCATAGGCAGACAAAACGTCCAGGCTGTTGGACTTCCAAAAATGAGTGTAGGTGGAAATTTCCAAAGACAAGAAATCAAATATCCTTCTTCTACAAGCGACCGCACGGCACCGAGCTGTATCATCGCGGTCAGGATCTTGTGGTAGACAACAGTTGGATTATTCCGTATAATCCGACTTTGTTGGTCCGCTACAATTGTCATATCAATCTTGAACTGTTCGTAGGGAATCCTATTCAAATTTGCCGGCATAGCAATGCGTATATCAACAAGGGTCTTGATTCAATCAATTTGAGGTGCGTGGAATTCGGATTTGATGAGACCACTAACACGGTCATTTGGGACGAGCCAGCGGCCTACGTGAAGATGAGGAACATCGGCCCTCACGGGGCCATCTACAGAATTCTGGGTTTGTCATGTTTTCAGATCAGTCATTCTGTTGTCACTCTTCCGGTTGATTTGGAAAATGAGCAGTTCGAGATTTTTTATGAGGTTTAGGAGGAACAGATCGTCAATCGGCCAGGCAATTCCAGATTAATAGGTTGGTTTCTTTTGAATGAATCTTCCAAAGGGACGAAAAAGAATTTCTACGTCGACGTAGTGACAACTCACACGTGGCTTAAGGGGAAATGGGTAAATCTCGAAAAACCGACGCCATAGGTAGACTTGCTGTAGTCTATCCGTCGCGCGGGAATGCCGAGAGATTCCACCTGCGAATGATTTTGTGCAACGTTTCGGGGCTAATGTCCTTCAGAGACGCCGCCCGAACAGTGGGAAATGTCGAACATCCTACCTTCCAAGCGGCATGCGTAGCATTAAAGCTGGTGGACGACGCCGAGAACGAAGTCGAAAAAGTCATGCAGTCCGTATGGTCTCGCATGGGCTCCCAACATTTAAGGGACGTCTTCTCTTTAATGCTGGTGAAGGATCCACAAAAAACGTTCCGTCAGTGAGTAAGATGGCTCGTCACATCAAAAAGATTCCGGATGTTGTCGTCGAGGTCGCCAAAACTATCCTTAACGTGAAAGAACGCGCCCGGGTTTTGCGATGCGCCAAGTTTTGCGTTATTTTCGAAGAACTCGAAACGTTCATGAGAGAGTGTTCGTCGAAAATGTCAAATTATGATATCAGTAAAGAATGGATCCGAGATTTGACTTTTTCGGACGACGAACGCTCCGGGAAGGAAGATGACGCCGTGGACGATAGTGACGTAGACGAAGTCATCGGCGACGATGATTACGTAGACGGCACTATTGAAAGCGACGCATCTAAAACCGACCACGACGACAAAATCGGGATTTGAACGACGAGCAAATGTTATTTGCCGCCGACGTAATGGAATCTGTGAATAGGAATCAGAATAGGGCCTTTGTTTTAATGGAGTCGGGGGGCACAGGTAAAACTGTACTTCTTAACGCCATCTTGGACATTATGGAGTATGGTTACCTGGCGTCAGCTTTCACGGGGATTGCGGCCACTTTGTTGAAAAACGGGGCAACTGCAATGGGTTGCCATTGCGGAAAAAGCAAGATCCAGAGTCTTCCGTGCTAACTTCCAATTTAGTTGCTCAATCTGAGGAGGTGGCGAAAATCGGGGCTACCAAGCTCGTTGTCATCGATGAGGTTTTCATGCTTTCTAAGTGGATGTTGGATTTGATTGAAAATACTTGTAGGTTGTTTAGTCGGAGTCCCAATTCCACTCGTCGTTTTAGGGGCAAAACTGTGATTCTTAGCGGAGATCCCAAGCAGTTGTTGCTCGTCGTCAGGGGGTCGTCCGGTCGGATGGCTGCCATCATGGAGTCGATCGTTGCTTCGATTTTGTGGTCGAATTTGGAAAAGGTGAGGTTGCACATAAATATGCGCTTGAGTGAAGCAGAAGTAGCTTGGACTAACTGGGTTGGACAATTGGGGGCGGGTAAAATTCAAGGCCAAGCCAACCATCAAGCTACGATCGGGATTTTACATAAAGACATATTAGTTGACTCACCTGAGAAACTGGTTGATTTTGTTTTCGGGGATGTCTTTAAGGCCTTCGAAGCAGCTTCCGGCGACGACGAACAATTTCAGTCGTTAGCCGTCAGCCTTGCTTATCGGGCGATCTTGTGCCCTATAAATGTCACAGTTAAAGAAATGAACGCGGATATCTTCCAGAAGTTCCCTGATCCTCGTCGGGCCGAGCGAACTTATCTTGCTGCCAATCGGTTCGAAGAAGACATTGAGATCAGAGCTGCTAACGAACAGATCACTTTCTGACCTAACTTGAAGAAAAAATCTTAACAGTGCGAAAAAAAATTATCTTTATCCTTATGTTTTACATGTTATTAGAAAAAAATGGGAATATACTCAGTGCACACTGATCAATAAATGGAAATCGAAAACTTCAACATAGGTCAGAAAATGGCCAGTTCGTAAGCAGCTCAGGTCTTCAAATCCCCATCCTCTCCGACAAGAGATTACTTCTGACATTTTAGAGGCCTTAGAAATTGCGTCATTGCCACCTCACGTTTTGTCATAAAAAATCGGCTCCGTCGTAATGCTCATGGTTAACTTAAATGTCAGAAGGGGTCTTTGTGATGGTCAACGGATGGTCGTTAGGGAGCTTTTGGAAGACGTCGTAATTTGTAGCATGGCCACTGGTCAATTATCAGGGACGAACGTAGCTATTCCTCGCAAAGTTTTTGTTGAAGGAGAAAATAACACCGAGCTAATGGAACTGTTTTACAGGAAACAATTTCCCCTTCGTTTGGCATACGCCATCACTATAAATAAGGCACAGGGTCAAACTCTTGACAGGGCGGATTGTATTTGCCGGTCCCGTGTTTTTTCCACGGGCAGTTGTACGTTGCGTATTGTAGAGCTAGAAAACGCGACGATGTCAAAGTGCTCGTCGTAGACGGGCCAAAACAGGGAAGACTGTTTAAAGTAAAAGTAATCCCGTCTACACACGTAACATCATGTATACAGAGTTCGTCGACGATTTAGCAAACGATATCGACGATGATGGCGTAAATTAGTAGTAGAATTTGGTACCGCTGTTGGTTTTGTGTTTCAGGTCTCTTGGTTCCAGTGTCCAGTATATAAGGTATTATGAAAAAGGGTATCGAAATAAGGGAACTAACCGAATTTGACTAATAACTTTTTTTGACACATTCTTGATTTTGACTATTACTCGAATGTGACAATCACCTGATTAAGACAATTCCTGACAATATGACAATCAGGCCTATGATGTATCCTCTCCTGTTATTTTAACAGCTATGTTATAGCTCAACATCTATACTTCTCTCTATTTTGACGTATAGAGTAAAAAGTGACAGACAACTTAACGTTGCTGTTAAAATAACAGAAAATGATACATCATAAGCCTGATTATGGCAAATACCCTATAATTATATTTATTGAAAAGTACTGTGTGTATAAAAAAAAAAACAAAACAAAATATATATACAGTGCCCGCGGAAAAGTCTGCACCATATGGGAAATTTTTTTATGCTCATCCTTACTTCAAATCGGTTTTCGGCATTAGGTTCTGCATGACTGAAAACCAAAAAAATACCTAAAATTTTTGACTCGAGTCTTGCCTCAAATGCCATTTGAAAATTTCAAACAAGGAAAAGTGGCATTTTTATAAAAAATATGAAAAAAATTTATAAGAAAATATTGTTCCAAATGACATTTAGGAGTAGTTTATAAACAAACAATTTGAAATATCAATTTGAGAAATCCAAAATTTTCAAAATAGTCCAAAGGCGTATCAAAATTTCAATAGAAATATTTCTTTTTGATGTTTAAACTCTTAATTAGATTATTAAGATTTAAGAAACCATTAGTCAGATACAAACTAATTATTTTAGAGGAATGGTCGCGAGTTATAGACATCAACCGATACTTAAACTGCCAATACCAGGAATATATTGGACGACTCAGCATAATGATAGAATAAGCATATTTTGTATTTTATTATTTCATGGGAGCTTTTTATATAGAATAAGTTTAGTCTTAAGTCACACACTGTACCAGTAAGTTAAGTCTTAGTAAAATAAATCTTTTTTAAAAAGCATTCTACTGGTTTGAGTATTTAACTGGCGCTGCGAACAGGATAGTGTGACAAGTCTCTTTATCTTTTTCGTTGAGATTTGGCGTATCTTTATACCTTGAGCACTATACCAAAAAGAACTTCAAATACTCCTAGCCGAATCCTTTGGTCCCTCTATTGTGAAGCATTGAGGTCATCAGACAAAGCACAGAAAGAAGAAAGAAACTCCACCGGGTGAAACTCTGGCAACTCTTCATTCTTCAAAGTGTCGCCGTGGATCCTAAGATTTCAAGTATTTTTTCTGAAGTCAGTAGACTGATATCCGTGCGTGACAAGTACCGTAAATTTGAACTTTTGCTGCTAAAAGTTGTGTGTGTTTTTGTGATAAAACTTGATAAAAAATGCTATGGTTCATCTTGATGCCCCTTTTTATGTAAGTAATTACTAAAATTGCCATATTTTTTACATGTCTGATCCTAAACAACTTTTGAAAAACGCTTTAAGTTCAAATATAAAAAGACTAGGCTTAAAAACCAAGAAAAATAAAAAATCATCATCACTTGCTGAAAAACTAGAAACTGTTAAAAATAAATCCGATTTAAATTTGAGCGAATTATTCTCAGAGTTAGATCTTGCATCTTCTAGTACTGGCAAATCTAGTGATAATAATAAGTTGAATTTTGATACTTCATCTTCAGAGGGAGAAGAAGAGCAACTTGAATTCTTTTCTTATAATAGCCTAATTAATTCAGATAAAATGGACGTACTGCGATCTTTTGCAACCATTTTACCTACCTTTTCTGGAAATCCAGAACACTTAGAATCTTTTATTTTGTCAATTGACGAATTTCATAGTCTATATTATAATGGCGAAGAAATTCAGAAAAAATTTGTTTTTAGTGTTATACGCTCTAAATTAGTTGAAAAATCTAGAGATTTTATTATGAGTGGGCCAGACCTTAAAACCTGGGCCGATATCAAAATAGCTCTCAGAGAAAAATATGGACATCCAATAGGATACCAAACATTGATGCAACAATTAAATTACATCAATAAAAATAAGCACGAATAACTATTAGATTTTGTGCAAAGATTAAAATTATTTGTGCAAAGAATAAATTCTAAAATTCAAAGTGAAAACATAGACAATAATTCAAAGTTAATTTTAATAGCACAAGCTGAAAAAACTGCAGTAGTGGTTTTAATGTCTAATGTTCCAGAATCTTTGAAAATGATTTTACTTATACACAACCCTAATACTTTAGATGCTTCTCTTGTACAAGTCACAAATTATAATCTCATTGAATCGCAAATAAACTTGAAAAATCAGGTTACCCAAAAACCTTTCAATCAACAGCGAAAATCTATGAGTTATAATCAATCTTTCAATCAGAATTCGCAGTCATTTAACCAAAATGCTCAGCAATTCAAACAGCAAAATAATTCAAAGCAAACTTTTCCTTGTCATGTTCATGTACAACCTAGACCAGTAAAACAATATTTTCCCACAAACGCCCAAGTTTTTGGAAAACCTGAAAATGCATTTGCTTCCCAAAAGAATACGAATCAAAGGCAACCAAATCCTACCTCAATGTCCGTCCAGTCAGCAGGACCTTCTCGAATAAATCAACAACCACAAAATAAGCAGTATTATAATAATTATTTCCAACCTACTGGTCCTAGAAATTTTGCATCGCAAGAATTAACCAACCTTCAAACAAATCATGAACAGTCAGAGGACCAAAACTCTGAAGAATATTATGACGATTATTACTATGACCAAGACATACCCAATTTACAGGAAGAGGACACTTCTTTCAATCCCCAGCAGGAGACTCTCACTGCAGAAGACCAAAATTTTCACGAAGAAGCCTCTATCGACCCATTAACTTAAACAATATTGCTCAAAAAATCGAGTTACCTTATTTCTTTCTACCAAAAATGCAAGTTACAAATTTGATCGATTCAGGAGCCTCCGAATCAATAATTAATCCCAATATAGGTAACTTATACCCTGATTTATTATTCTATGAGCCTTTTGAAGTAACTGCATGCAAAAAGACCTACCGTGAAAACACCAATATTAACATTCCACTCTTGCAAGAAATAGGTATTAATTTACCCCTAAAAATGCGTGTTCTTAATTGGCACAACGACTTCGATGCCCTTTTAGGAACAAAGGATCTTAAAAACCTAAATGCTGTTCTAGATTATCAAAATAAGTGCTCGACACTTCAACGGAATAAAAAAGTAGTATTTTCACTTGCTTACAACAAACCTCTCTCTAAACCAACTGAAAACTTGAATAGCAATGCACTAATTATTCCAGTAAATCTCGAAAATGGAGACGCTATATTACCTTCCTTTCAGATAAATAATCAAGTCGTCATTCCTGATAGTCTAATTACAGTCAAAAACGGACTTTGTAAAATTCCGAATCCACTTCCCAGACATAACATAAAATTTGATCACAGAATGAGAGTTATACCAAAAGAGCACTTCGAAATAACTAACCTTCCAACAGACAACACCCCATTTGAAATTTCTAAACAATTACGTTTAAATCATTTAAACGATTTAGAAAAAAGCAAAATAATACCTTTGTGTCATGAGTTCAAAGACATTATGTATTCCGAGAATTGCGACTTAACTTTCACTAGTCAAACCAAGCACTATATACGGACTACAAATGACCGTCCCATATATGCTAAATCTTTTCGCCATCCTCCTGCCATGTTGCCCGAAATTCAGAGTCAAATTCAAAAACTTTTGGACAATAAAATTATTCAGCCATCTATTTCTCCTTATTCTGCCCCTGTAATTTGTCGAAATAATAAATATACTACCGATGTGTCGTCACATATTATGTGGTGTAGTAGGTATGCTTATATGCCCTAAAAGTACAACTAAAACCAAACTTTGGCTGCATTTCAATAGGCTCGTTCAAAAAAAAATTATTAACACGTTTTTTCTAATTTTCATGGAGTATTACTCACATATAGCACATAAAAAATAAAAAAAATTCCAGCTTAATTGGATAAATATTAAAAAAGTTACGCGTCTTTTAATATTAAAACAGTTATGCCTTGGAAATTCATTGCTGTGACGTCATAGCATCTCTCGCGTCGAGACAGGCTAAAGGGCGTCACACACGGTTTTGCATAACGCAATGAGAACTGATTTTCTGCTAACAGTTTGGCATAAAAATTTCCACCACATACACATAGTCATACGTAGTACATAGGTAATTTTTTGTGTTGCCTCCCTCCTAGATTATTTCGCCGTTTTTACGTTCTGAACTACATTTAACATTTAAAGCTTTCTGAAATACACTTAACGCTTCCTGCAATACATTCAACCATTCTGAAATACATTTATTAACGCTTTCTGAAATACATTTAACGCTTTCTGAAATACATTTGACACTTTCTGAAATACATTTGACACTTTCTGAAATACAATCGGAAAAGGTCTAGAACAGATATTATTGCATGCAGAATAACTGTTTGTCGTTTGATATAAAAAATGTGCGAAGCAGATTATATTAAGGCCGATTCCTCCATAATGCCGAAAGTTGATGTTATCATGGTAATGGACTATTTTAACACAAATCGAGATTTCATCAGTGCAGAAATGAGAGGTGTTAAAATGCAGCAGTAAGTATTTTATGCCTATTATTCAGGTATTATATTTATTTTGATGCATCAAATATTGTATTATATTATGATTATTATGATGTAATAGGACTGTTATTATTTTTTCGTGATACTGTACTGTTATTTCAATATAACATGAGCGAAATTGAAATCGAAAAGGTAAATTTACCGACCGCCGGCCGTTAAATTAACGGCCGCCGACTGGGAGAGTGTTTTTTTTTTGTCAGATTAAAAGATATCTCCAGTATAACGAAAAATCTAAAACGAAACACCAGCTGATAACTGCAAATAACAGCCTTGGCTGATTATGATCCTCGGCCGTCGCCTTGAATCACAAACTTCAGCCCGGCCGTTATTCGCAACTATCGGCCTTATAACGCTAGATTCAAAAAAAATAAGAACTGTTTCAAGTTGTTTTTATATTATTTTAGTTCTGCCCGTGAACATTATGGAGACAATGCTGTGGGTTATGTGCAGCTCAAGCGTTCCAATAATATATGCAACTTAAAAGCAAAAGTCACTCCGGAACACAGAATAAAAGCGAAAAATTATCAAGTTTCTTGTAGAATCGACGAATTGGAAAAAAAAGTTATAGAGGTAAAGTGTCATGATTGTCCGGCGTCGGAAGGAGGTTGTAAACATGCTGTGGCATTTTTAATGTGGGTACACCGCAGAAGCGAAGAGCCATCTCCAACTGACAAGGTTTGTTATTGGAAAAGATCAGCTTTAGCTGGAGCTTCGAATACAAAAAAATGTATTACCACGGAAGATTTTGGTGTCATACCATCTATATCTCCCAATGATACTCTCCTAAATGATTATATTCTTGAAGCAAAAAAAAGAAATATTGAAAATAGCACTATGCGGTACCATCTTCCTCAAAATTATGATTGTTTTTCCCTCCATAAAATGAAAATGTATTTATTGTCGACTAATAATATAAATGACGGAAATCTATTCCTAAATTTTTGCCAACAACAAATGGACGAAGATTTGCTGAATCAAATCGAAATAAAAACTAGAAACCAGTCTAAATGTAGCCTATGGTCTGAAATGCGATACGCACGCATAACAGCATCAAAAGCATATGACGCTGCCCACTGTGCCACCTTTGATAGAACGCTAGTAGAAAATATATTGGGGGCCAAAGTTTTCCAAACGGAAGCTATGAAAAGGGGTCTTAATTTAGAGGAAGCTGTCCTCAAAGTACTTGCCAGGGACACTTCCCAAACCTTTCGGAGATCAGGACTCTTCCTTTCAAAAGAATGTCCAGTGATAGGTGCGAATCCAGATGCGATTAATGAACAATTTGTCGTAGAAATAAAAAGCCCGCAGTCAGGTAAGACTTCAAAACTATATTAATGTTGATGGCAATATAAAAAGTAAATATTACTATCAAATACAGATGCAGATGCATCTTACAAATAAAAAAAAGGCATTTATGTTGTAGCAAGCCCTGATTTTGAAAAAAGTAACAAAATAACTTACAAACACTGTGATTATGATAGTAGATTTGTTGATACAATGATAAAAAAATTAGTAAATTTTTGGATTAAGGCTGTTTATGATAAAATTTAAAAAAAGCACTTTACTGTTTTATTTTAGCAAATAATCTTGTAAATTTATCAAAGCACATACTACTATTACAATATTATCTAAATATTTTATTAAGCTCGAATGAACACAAGCGTGGGGCTGTAAAATGGCATATTCCCGTATTCTTGATATGACCCTTTCGACGTGAATTCGCAGACTAGCAATTCTTTTGGACTGTTTGATCTCCTGCTTCGAATTTTTAATTTTTGCCGAAACCGATGGTGGTCTTATTAAAATGTTAGTGTTTTTCATTAAAAGTTCATCGATATGTTTAAATCCACGGTCGGCCATAACATGGGCATTATTTTCTAATACATTCAAAAATCCTGATTCTTCCACGATCATTTTATCGGTAGTTCTACCACCAAAACGTCTAGATACAAAAGAAATAAGCCCATCAGGAGTACAACCTATTAGGTATTTCATAGTATTGCTTTTTTTATATTCTGACCAAGAAAATGACTGCAGGATTGGGTTTCTTGGTTTTTGAATGGAAATTTCGAAACAATCGATTATGCACTGTGCATTTTTAAATCTTGTTCGGGAAGGTATTGGCAAACATTTTTGAATTTCCGAAAGCGATTTCCACTGGATAAATGACTTTAGATGTTCAACTAATATTGGAATGGTTTTTTTAATTATCGAGAATACTGCTGCAGCCGATTTACAAAAATCATCTGCTATTATTTTACCGAGAAAAATTTGGATTGTAACTTGTGCAATCTGGTATTTTAAAGAAATTATATTTAATTTCAATAAAATTTGTAATATATTTCAAAAATTAGCATTTTAAAAATCAATATCTTTTTATATTTGACATGATATTTTATGAAAAATAATGCTTTGTTTTTAATTTTATAAAGCCTATATTAAAATGTCAGTTGTAAAATACAAATATTTTAATTTATCATTTAAAAAAATTGGTCTACTAAAATTTAAAATCCGGCTAATAAATTTCTAATATTATACCTGCATATTTAAGTACAACCTCAAGCAAAAAAATATTTTCATATTTAAAATACGCATTTTAAAATTCACAATGCATTTCACCAATTTGACTCTGAAACTGAAGATTTTGTCAGTTTCACTATACCTCTTTGAGGTGAAGGTCTACGCGTGTGGTTCCGGTCCGGGTCATTTTCAGGTAAAAAAAAAATAGTCGTTGTTGCTGTGTGAGAAACTTTAGTGAGAGTGAGAGGCACTGTGTTTTTTTTCTATTATCTGAGAGACAAAAGGAAATGATGCAATATGGAATTTCAAGATTACCACTATGGGCTTAACATAGCTAGTGCCATGATATCTGCAGGGACTGAGACTACTGAAAGCTTGAGCTCCATATTGGACAGCTGGAACATGGGCGAACTTCTTGAGGTATTCCAAAGTAAGTCGTAAAACTCCGGGAAAATCCGGTAAAGCAGTTAGGTATGATGCTTTTTCTTAAGCTTTTTTTTTATATTGTATTATACATGGGTGTGTCCTGAGCTGTGTCAAATTTCCATTTTAAATCAGAGCAATTAGTGAGTTGATCGTTTATTTCACAAAGTTACTATTGGTGGATTTAAGTACTTGAATCGTTGAGAATCAAGAATTCTGAAATAAACACCGCTGTAGCCTTAGCCAGCGTAAAAGCCAGCTTGTTTTATTATGTGGTTAGATGTATTGTGATTATTTGTATCTGTATTTCTAATCCGAATATTATTATAGATTAAATTTGAGAATAATTAGGTAACCAAAATTTTAATTCAATATTTATGTCAATCCACAATTGAATTAGATTGTGTGAAATAAACACATTCATTATTATGGTGCTGCTAAGATTTTAAAGAAATGGTAAGATTTTTAAGAAATTTCAAAACATTGAAAAGGAAAATGCAAGGAAAAATGTTTTTTATATACCTACTTACCTATTTAACCCAATCTCGAGGGGGAAATCAGTCTATGATTTAAATGTGTTTCAATTTATTATGATTTTTCAATGGCTTTTTAAAGTTTTTCAAGGTTCCGAAAAAACGGTAAAGATCATTTATTCCACACTTTACCCCACAGGCATAAAAAAAGTGAAATATGCATCAGTTTAGTTGCATAACATGTTCATACCTCGGTTCCTACAGTTAAGGTTATCTTTGTTATTTTTCAGAGCACGATATTGACCTAGAAGCCTTTAAACTCTTGCTAACTGAGCCAGGGTTAATAAAAGAAATGATCCAAGTTCGGGAAAACGTCTCAAATTCATGAATCATTATAAAATATATATGAATCAGGTAATTTTTGCTCGAATTTTCCTTATATGTACCTACATATTGCCAGTAAAAGGCATATTGATGTTGTTATATTCTATGCTAATTTTTTTTTTTTAAATAGAATAATTATTATCAACTTTTTTTATGTGAAGCACCCTGTACAAACTTTAAACCGGCTTCTGGAACATTTTGCATATAGGGCTATTTCTTTTAGATTAACAGTACAGAATTTGAAAGAAACGATCTTACATCACCCTCAGGATCACTTGCCTCTACTCTAACAGTGAGTTCATGCTTCAGCGATCCAATACCGGATAACATCATAGACATACATACATTGGATACAAATTTAATGCCCCCACCGCCACCACCGTCCCCACCGCCTCCACCTTCATGTTCTCCAGCAAAAAAGGTAATAAGTACTATTGTTAGTGTTCGTTAATTAATTTATCCAGTTAATTAATTCTTTCGTAAATTTATTTATTTCTTTTAGGGACTTAAACATTTTCTAAATAAAACAAGAGAGGGTCAAGTAATTCTCACCAATAAATTCGCCTTTACTGACAGTGTTCGTACCAAACTCTGTCAAGTTGTAGTGGATCAAATTCACAACAAGTTTGGATATGATAGGTGAGTTTAGATAAGAAAAAAGTAACTCAAATATTTAATACTTCTTTTATCTATTCACTTTTTTTTTGGTAAACTTTCAAATAAATTATTTCTGTAGTGTATTATTTTGGTGTTTATATTTATTTTCACATTTTTATGTAGAGTTCCTCAGGCCGCTTTTAAAGAAGCAGCAGATGAAATTCGAGCGTTATTCCCAGGAGAAACTTCAAAAATATATTTTGTGCCATATCAAAAAAAGCAGGCAGAGTTCCAAAAAAGCTGTGCTCAGGAAAGTTGTGGGCCCGACATGTCAACACCAAAAAAAAAACTAACGAATTTAGAGGCTACCAACAAAGGTAAACACACACTAATTCGTAATTACACTAATCAAAGAGTTCCGAGTTTAAATGATAAAACTTTTAAAAGCAAATATTTATTGTCCTTTCAGATGTACTTGTACAAAACGAAAGAGATAAATCTATCGAACCGAATGATGTTATTGAATTTCTAAAGCATAATATTGAACCATATGATGAAATAAAAATAAAATGGACTGAAAGTTTTAAACAAAGAAGGGATCTATTGGGAGATCAGCCATCATCTTCTGATGATTATTTCAACACTTTCCCGATTTTAAAAATACCAATCTATGGATGTTCCCTAATACTTGATGACTTCAATGCCTTATATCCTAATAAGTCTGAACTGTTTTATGAGACTTGGCAAGAGTTGAAAGTAGCCCTTAAACGTTTATGCGAAAAGAGGAACATAGACATTAGCACCATTGCCAATGAGGGTAAGTTTAAATTGTCGGATCTACTTCATTATGGTATAGATGCCTAAATTAGCGGTATTTCATTAGTTTCTTCTTTCAGATGTCAATTTAATCTACAATTTACCACAACTATTCAGTCCAACCACCATTAAAGTTCAGAAGAAAAAGGCTTGGAGACCATCCAAGTTTGAAGTCCAGTCGTCTTTCGTTTTTCATGTCGATGTAAGTAAAAATGTTATTGAATCCAAACAAACAAATTAAGGCTTCTTATAAAATATAAGCTATTATATTTTTGGGTGTTTATATCACCGTAGATGAGAGCTAAAATGACCACAATTTCAATGGGTAATTAGCCTGATAATCCTTTCCGTAATCTTGCAATTTTGAGTAGCTTATATCGCTGATAAAGATATGTTTCTGCTCAAAACAAGTTTAATTTAGTTTAAAATAACGAGAATACTTCTGGAGAGAGGTTTTCTGGTAAATTTAATTCAGCTCCACCTTAAGAAACAAGCCACATTTTCAATATTCTCTATTTGTGGTATATTAAGGAAATCCTAAGTGCACGTTCACATTGATACCGCTCGAGCGGTGAGCGTTGCGCGATGCCGCTGTAGCGATGCCCAAAAATAATTTTAACATTATATTTCAAATGAACATGTTAAAACCGCGCGACACGCCGCCTCATTGTGAACTTTTTCATTTGAAATATAATGTTAAAATTATTTTTGGGCATCGCTACAGCGGCATCGCGCAACGCTCACCGCTCGAGCGGTGTCAATGTGAACGCGCACTAAGAATGAATGAAGTAATTATTTTTAAAGACTGTGACCTCAACTTTCACACGAAATTTCTTACTCTTCCAGAATCCAAATGAAATTGAGGAGAAACTATCTGAGAGGAGAAACGACGCCAAAAAGTTGGGCTTGACATTACAACCATGTATGATTATTGTGGGGCCCTTAAATGCTGAAACTCAGGTATTTATCTCTATTGAATACTTGAATGTAAAAGTTCAAAATTCTAATGTATCTTTACATATTATGTGGCTGTAAATAATTTCAAAATGACGATTATTTGCTATATACATGTATGTCAAAAAACCTTTATTTCTGTAAAACACTTGGTTGCACATTTCAAAATCATACACAAATTGCAAGAGAATAGTAAATATTGTTGTGTTTATGAAAATTGCTGTAGAAAATTTATATCACTTAATAGTTTCAAAAAGCACATCAAAAGTCATAATGGGGAAGAATATGAGAAAAAATATAACAATGCCATTGCAATTCCGTCATCAAGCACTGAGCCAAGCACTGAATGTAAAATAGATGTGTATCCAAGCATTTGTCCCGAGCAAAATGAGACATTAACAACGGCTTCTTGCTCTAACATCCCTGAGAAAGATGAAGGTGATTCTTTAAATATAAACGATTTTAAAAACTTGGTGTCTGAAAAAGCCAATCAGATAATTTGCCAGGCATACGCAAACAGTTCATTGCCAAGGTCGCTGGTACAAGAAGTGATAGATAACTTCAATGATTTATTTACAGCTCTATTAATTTACCTTAAAGAGAAATTGTCTATAACGCGTTTTGAGAATGAAAATGATAAAGAAGGTATCATTGAAATGTTAAATGTTGTAGAAAACATGTTCAGTGAATATAGTTCCGAACATAGGCGCTTTAGCCTTTTGGAAAAATCTGGCAAATTTATTAAACCAGTAGAATTTATTACAGGTCAACAGTTACACCTAAATTCCTCAGGTATTTTAGAAAACAAATCTTTAAAAGCTCAATTCATTCCATTGAGAGAAGTCTTTAAACAGTTTTTTGAGCTGGATAATGTTTTCAATGAGTGTGTATCATACATTAAAACCTTAAATCAAAATGTTGATATAATTGAGAATTTTATGGAAGGGAAACTATGGAAACTTAAACTTAATGGAATGTCAAGTAATGAAAATATTGTCTTTATACCTATTTTTTTGTATTACGATGATTTTGAAATAGGCAATCCTTTGGGAAGCCATGCTGGATTGCACAAGTTAGGCGTAGTCTATGCATAATCTCCAATGATTCCACCAAAATACCACAGTAGGCTCGAAATTTTTTTTTTGTGTATGCTTTTTCATACTGAAGACCTTAAGGAATTTGGCAGCTATGCAATTTTCAGAAAATTAGTTGACGAAATTAAGTATTTGGTATCTGAGGGAATTACTATTAAACCTGGTGATAGAGTAGTAGCTTTAAAATTTAAATTGTGCCTAATACAGGGTGATAACTTGGGATTAAATACAATTCTGGGATTTACTCAGTCTTTTAGATCAAATTTTTTCTGTAGATTTTGCAAATCGAATAAGCATTCTACTGCTAAACAAGTTAGCATCAATCACGTGGAGAATAGAAATATAGAAAATTATGAGTCAGATTTAATGTTATTGAACCTAAGGGAGGCCGCACATCAAAGAAACATGAAACGTGAAACATGAAACATGAAACGTGAAATTCGTTTCATGAAAATAGAACAAGAATAAACAAATACACGTCCGCCCACCAATGAAACAAATTTGTTACATGCGCGAGAAACATTTTTATTACTTGAAACGTGTTTCATTAAATAGATCGTGTTCTATTTTTCCGTTTCAGTTTCACGGTTTTTGGTCATTAATACATTCATAAAAAAGTTAATTACGACCAAGAATTCAATATTGTGTTCGTTTCAGTGGTAGAGCAAGATGGAGAATTGTATAAGTATAACATGGAGACGTTCTCGAATAGATAATCACAAGAAAAAGCCTGCCAAAATGTTGTCTTACAGGTAAAAAGTACATAATTATTGTATGGATGTACCCAGTAACGTCGTTTCCTTTATTTTTTTGGCTTTTTGACGATAATAGAAAAGTTGCCACAACAGCAGTTATTATTGCTCCTCAACACTTTCCATTTTGTGATACCCTCCATACCCCAAAAGACTTTGCAAACATTATTCTTGTTTCTTCAATTAGTATGCAAGAGAGAAACGGTTTCGCTTTTCGTAATTTATTGTTTCATGTTTTACGTTTCATGTTTGATGTTTCACGTTTCATGTTTCTTTGATGTGCGGCCTGCCTTGTATAAAAAATATTATACAGGAATAGAATAATTAGAAGTTTATTTTTTTAAATGTTGTGAATTTAAAAGTTTTCATATCATAGAATGTGTTATTTTATTATTTCCTATTTTTATGAGAATGTTATTTATTTTATTAAGGAAAAATCTCAGGAATTACCTACCTTTTGTCACAGTTGGTTCAATTAACAATTTTCGCTATTTTATATTTTTTACTATCCCCCCACTATTTTAAATTTTTATCAATTGCGTTGGTACCTATAAATACTATAAACATGTGTCCAGAAAGGCTCCAATTTTTTTTCCAAGACCAAGACTAATACTAGACGAGTGTTTACTTGGTCTTGGTTTTGCAAAGCCCTATTCCTATATGTTTTGTCTAATGCACATCAAAATCGATAAAGTCAATTGATCACTCAACAGGTAAGTTAGCACAGCAGCATTATCAAACCAAGTTTTTTCAACAGCAACAATAATTTGTATTTCTCTAAAATAAATACAGAGTGGCAAAAAAGTCGCGCATAATACCTGTAACTTTTTAATTACCCCCTATACGGAAAAGTGACCTTAATAAAAGTTGCTCCGTAAATTATTCCCTAAATTTGGTTGCTATCCAGATTAATTTTGTTTTTGTTTTTAAATAGAACACCCTACATGTGATCGCATATTTGGATTCCACTGTAGTTAACTGAATAAGATATCAACATGGGGCATTATGTTATTAAAAACATTTAACTAGAATAAAAATATATCGTTTTTCAGCCAATTAATAAATCCAGCAGCTTGTGCGACGGTTTTTGTGCTATTTTTTTTTTGGATTCCTGAAATAATAACATTCAAGAAGGTCTTCCTTACTTTGGTAAATAGACTGCACAATTCGAGAATTAAAATACCATCGTGTTTGCGAAGGTCTTGGTTTACGTTTATCTGAGACATTAGAAAGAGCTGCGGTTCTATCTGGAGATCGTGAAAAAAATGCGGATATCCCATTTAAATTTGCAAAAAAAAATTCGTACGCTGGGGATACTGGATGCCGCCTGTACTAATAATTTTTTCAATCGAAATGAGCGTTTTTATACAACTCTTTAATCTTCATATTGACACCACCTACATGTCCACGCATTACGGTCGTTCAGTTTATCTGGACAATCTTTGAGTAATGGGTCAAGATGTTTCAAAATACACTGTAAAAGGCCTTCAGTATCTCGACTTTCCGGATTTGAGAATCCCCAGAAACGTTCAAATATTTTGCCATTTAGCTCATATCGAAACACGATGACTGTCTGGGTTTGGGTTGATACATCAGTAGTATCATCAATTAGTAGAGCAAGAAAAGAAGACTTTTTAATTTCAGTTCGGTTTCTGAACTCAGTACCAAATTTAGTTCTGCACCCGGTTCCATCATTAGTGCCATAAACCACCGAATTGCTTGCTCTCTTTGGTCTCTATTTTAAAATGACACTTGACAGTTAAGTCATGTCATTCATGATTTGTGTGCCAGCTGACTGGTGAAGTGTCGTTAATTTTTGTCAGTTGACCTTTCAATTAGTAATGTTTTGGGATCATCGATTTCTTTGTAAGCCTTTACGTTTTGCAACACGAATTGTTCACTAAATGTCGTATTTTTCAAATTATGATTATTCTATTGGATAAATACTTGTTGTTATTATCATCAGTCGTCAGCTGTTGTCATTTTTCTCAGATTATATTGTTGTGTGCAATTTCTGGTACGTAAAAATTTTACCGATTAATTTCTCACATTTGTCGTTACTTTGCTACATCTCTACTTTTCAAATCTAGGACAGCTAATTATTTACTTGTGGTGAATCTTCCTTTTACGATTTGGTTGTTCTTAGAAAAGGGTCTCTCTTAAAGAATTAAATTTTGTCTTCGCCCTAAGAGGGATTTTGGTCCTAGTTTTCTCACGAATTGAATTTATAGTACATTGAGTTGCCTTACGTTGCGTTTCGTTTTCGCTGTGTGCTATAATTTTGCCGATGACTTCGGATTTTGATAAGTTTTGCTTTGCACGTTTTTTGCCACACTTTGTCTATTTGCTCATTAGTGAAAAGCTGCCCTAGAAACACCATATTCCATCCAGGATCTAGAATCCTGACTAATCCAACGGATAGGAGTATTTTTGTGGCAAATAAAACCCTATTCCATTAAGTGAGACATAATCTAATAACCTTAAATTTTCTTTGCAAACTCGAGGCACATGTTCTTTACTTTTATGCTTTATCTGATTTTGTATAATTTGATTGATTATTATCATAGATATATTATTATTCAATTTTCCTATTACAATAATTTTCAAGAGCAGTTTTATCAAGGAAATTCACTATTGAAGACTAATTGAGTTACATTTTAATTTCATTTTCTAATTCTGTCTATTCATAAAGTGCCTTGCTATGGCTATGGTTCAGTTACAAACACAGTGTGTTATAACAATTTTTCTCGTAGGGTTTTCACTCACGGCTACAATATTAAACCAAACACAACAAGTTTAATTGTAACTGAGAATATAAGGCTATTTCTACCAAACCTAAACCTTCTAGTTGAACGGATACACAATCCTTCCGGACTGTGATTTTGAACTTTAAGATTGGTTTGACCATCTTAACCACAACCAGTACCCAGGACTAATCTGGTAATTGTACGTACGGCTACCATCTGGAACATTTTGGTATCGTACTAGCTGTAGTAATCCTATAATTATTTTATTAATTATTTTTTTAATTTCGCCCCTATTTTGTGCGCCAAAGTGATCACCGCTTTATGTGTAGGGTGTAATTCCGTACTTGTGGTAACGGAAACCAAACAACAGTAATTATTATAGGAAATTCAGATGGTTGATTATTTATGACGACCTACTTGTAGTTTTTTTTACATCACTGTGAGGTAACCGCTCTCACAACTAATTATTTATTTATTTTTTCTTATTTTTCTTTATTTTATATTTTCAATTTTCACACTTCATTCACTCGTTCATGACTACAGCATTTATTTCTATATTATAGCCATTACCTGTATTTGTTGATTGACACTTCATTAAAACGTCACTTTATTTATTAATTAATGACAGTTTAATTGACTGTATTTTCTTGAATGGTTTTCCACTCTTTGATTAGTAATATTGCTAGTTTACTTTTTTATCTTTTTATTATTATTTCAACACAGCTGTTGTTTCATTGTGGAATATAACCACAGAAATTAGTTAATGAACAGATTCTATAGCACTTGATTTATAATGAGTTTTATTTGGTTTTATGCACTCAGCCTAGTTTTAGCTTTTCTTGAATATATTTCTTTTAATTTGGATTGTAAGGACCTGGAGCCAGATAACATCCTGGAGAGTCCGACTCATCTGTCCTGAGCCGGTGGCGCCCAAAAATAAACCCACCCCTACTCTCCGAATTGTTAATCCTGAGTTAGGGCTTAATTTGCACGCACTTCGACTTACAGTCCTGCAATCTCAAGTATCCATTAAATTTTATTTAATTTTTATTTATTTTATTTTTTTTTTCTAAGCTTCTTCTCCACCGAAAAAGAGTGGCAACCTTAGGCCGTGTTTATGTTGGAGCTGTGATAATAGCGGTGATAAGAGCTATTCAAAAGTATCCCATCAAAAGTATCAAAAAAGCGCTGCTCTACTCGCCGCTCCAACATATAAACCTGTGTACAAACACAGGCATTGTATTTCGTTGCTTCGCTAGCATCGTTGCTTTTATCGTTTATCACAGCTCCAACATAAACACGGCCCGAGGGGGAAACCACTGGGGTATTTTAGTGTACAAAGGCAAGGAATTGTAGGGGAATTTCGAGGTATTTTGGGGAATTTCAAGGTATTTCAAAGTATTTCGAGGAATTTCGGGGTATTTAGGGGTATTTCGGGGAATTTCGACGGTATTTCGAGGGTATTTCGAGGAATTTCAGCCGTATATCGCATAATATTTCATAAAATTCTTTTAAAATCTTCACAATTTGACAAACGTGCACGTGGAATTTGCTAGGCAGCCATTATGCAACGCCGCGAGCCGGTGCAACGTGCACAAGTTTGGAACGGTTCAACAGTGAGTTTGTCAACATTGGATGGTTGTAATTTGTAGATCATATGATTTATTTATTGTTTTTTTGCAATTTTGTAGTGAAAATACTGATATTAGGTAAGTTGTAATATGCCCTATACTATGCCTGTATGAAGTAAACTTTATTTTAGATAGAAAAACAACGTTTAAAAACTATTTAATTTAATTTAGAGAGCAAAATAGGGCCTTTTCGAAAATACCTTCTTTTTTATACATGTTTACCGGCTAGGACTTCTTAATTCGTTTCTGCATGGAGGACAGGTAAGGCTGATATTATATTCCTACTAGGTTATTTAGTTTTGGAGAAAACTTTTTGCACTGGAGTGGAACCTTTTTTAAAATTTGTGCGTTTTCCTTCATTGCAAAAAAATCGAATTACCGTGAAATTGGACCGAACCAATCTTTTATATAACTACTCGAAAAAAATCGACATCTTGTCTTGAGAAGGTATTTTAAAATAAATGACACTAATATTTCTACTCGTTTTTGCAAGATTGCCTTCTTAAATTTGAAATTTGAAATTTGATTTTCTGCATAGCAAAAATTATAACTTCTTATGTATTTGCACCTAAATCCCGTCCTGGACTTTATTTTTTGACTTCCAACGTTGCTTTCAATAGAAAATAATGATGGCGTACACTCATAAAAAATGTAGATCCCTATTGAATAATTAAAAATTAATAAAGATATAATAGGAAAATCAAGAGTGGGATTTTGTGTGTGAATTTTGCTTTATTATTTCAGAATTTATAATTATTTTTGAAAACTAAAGACGAGAAAAAATCGGGAAAAAATAGTTTGAGCTGAAATTTTTGTCTACTATTAAATGAAAAGTTTTTATAGCTTTTTTTCCCCTTACAGCAACTAACAGCGTACAGTTTCCAGATTGTGCTAGAATTCAAAAAGGTGTGCTGATAAAAAAAAAAACAATTCGAGCCTCGATCACCTGAGATGGAATCACAAGACACTCTTCAAAACTTGAATCTCGACTTCAAAGTTGGGCTTTTTGAAGAATTTCAAGGGGCTACTAAGCTTGAGGTACCTGTTTATTTACAAAACTTGTTAATAGCTAATGGACTAGATAGCGAAATTTTGTTAAAAGATATAACAGACTCGGATATTGCAATATGTGAAGAGTACTGCCGTACTGTTCTACACAAAAATATTCCACAACATGAATACAAAAATTTTTATGGTCCAATTTATTGCTACGATCCGTCTAACTATCAAATGGTGCTAGATCATAAAAAAATCATTTTTCTCATGAAAGATTTTTTTCAAAATAAAAATAGAACAACTGAAGACAAAAGCACAATGACTGAGTGCGCTATCAACTCAAACTATTATTTACCTTCAAAATCATCATCTGACGCAGGAGCAATCCAGAATAAAATAAAAAAACTTGACATAGATCTTACCCAAGAGAACAAACACATTTTTGCAGTAATTAGAAAATGGGTGGAAATCCAACGTTCGGGGGCAAATTTAGGTAACTTGAACTTCTTGAATAATATTAAAGTCTGTGCTTCAAAGGACACACATGATGAGGATAAAATGATGTGCATTATCACTTGCTTCTGTAGGACATCTATCAAAATCCTTAAAGTTAGAAAATCAATAAATGCACAACCTCGTTGGATTTACACCAATTTCTATACCCATTTCAAAAGAAAACATTCAGGAGTTGATCCTAAATTACCTTACAGTACAAAAGATATCCAAAATGAGTCCCGAGAGGGGTCTTCTGGAGAATTGAGTGAAGTTCCCGAGGAAGTGCCTATTAAAAAAAGTTCAACCAGTATTAAAAATTATTTCATAAAACTCGATGAACCAACAACCTTGGCTACAACTTGTGTCAAAAATCCTAATTCAAGCAGTATGACAGGTTATTCTGCCAGTCGCAATTTCTTTAAAAGTGATGAAGCCTCGGATAAAGCTCACACAAATTTCGACAACTGTTATGAGAAGTCGAAATGTCGCAAGATGAATTCTCGGATAAATTTGATTCAATCCACAAAATTAAAAAGATTTATTCCTGTCATTGAATCAGACCCGCGCACAGACTTTCATTTGATTCAAGAACCAGTTGAAATATCACCTAATGGATTATCCACAATCGTGTCCACAACATCTGCGACGAGCTCGGCGACAAGTGATGAACATATCAAATTATTAGCAGCCAAAATATCTGGAAATACAGAGAACCTTCTATCCGAGCAATCATCTGAAGATTTTAGTCCTTCAAAATGGGCTACTTGTAAATACAGCCGTGAAGAACGCAGCAGAAGGAAGCGAGAAAAATGCCACGACAATCAAACATTATTAACAAATTTTTATCCGATATTACAAGAAATTCATTCTGTTATTGATGCAAATATAAATAATAATCCCAATATTGTCGATATGCTGAATGACACTGTAAATATCATAAATCTGCAAGATGAAAATACGAGTAGCAACTCGTCTATAACGCGTAACAAGTTTTTGGAAACTTTGATTCAAATTGCGCGTATTAATAAAAATCGACCTTGCCAGAAAAATGTGTATGATGATGATTTTAAAAAGTTTTCTTTGTATCTATTCTATTTAGGGGGCAAACTTTTATACGAAACATTACACGCAAATTTAAATAGTGTTCTACCTTCTTTGTCAACCTTGTATAGATTTAGAAACAGGTTACAGGATAGAACTGAAGAAGGACAGTTTAATTTTAAAGGCTTAAATACTTTTTTGGAACAAAGAAATCTACCAAAATTCGTGTGGATATCAGAAGATGGGTGTTACGGGATGATTTTTCCTGGGTTAAAATGAAAGGAAATAAGCGTATTCGCCTCAATGAATAGCATACCTTCATCAAGCCACTGTTGTCTTTTCAATAGTTAAGGCCAAACTTTTCATCAAACTTTTCATTTTTCCCAGAATCATTAAGTTAGAGGTTTATTAATGGAATTGATTTTCTGTTAGTAGGGTTGAAATAAATAGACAATTAATTTATTAATAAAACAAAATCACAATATTTACACTAGAACAGCTGATTGTCTGATCGGAGTAGATTGTCTAGATTGACAGCGCTCCAAATAGAGTCAATGACCGGTACTAACTTAATTTGAATAAGTACCATGCCCCAACTACCATCAAAATTCCCCAGTACCTTCCACCTTGGAGTTCTGACAGAGACTTTTTAAAGGACATTGCAGGGACAATCAGAGGTCATTCAGGTCGAGGACTTTCCACGATTAAGTGTTCGGGAAAACTCAGGCACATTTTGCCGATTTCTGAGTTGCCAAGTTTCGCTCATAGATCTAGGGTGGCTAATCCGCTATTTTCGCACCCAATCGCCTTGTGCAGATTTTTTTGTGAGTCGAAAAATAGCAACGTGGTCAATTGTTTGTTCCTAAAGGCCAAAAGTGATTTTGGTAAGTGGTTTTTCTTATTAGTCTTCTCTGTGTTTCTCTATTGCCTGTGTAAAAGCATAATTTTCTGTTAATTATATGGTTGAGTTCCGAATATTGGACATACCTACCTATTGCTCTATGCCCTGTCTCATAACGTCCATTTGTTTCAGGCCTTTATTCATCACCCCTAGAAGTTACACTTTAATCTTCAGTCTTAGACGTTACGTTTTAATCGTCACCTTTTATTCGTCACGCTTAGTCCTTAACTTGAGTAAAGAGTTAAACGTTGAGCTTACTGTGTGTTTCAAGTAGTACCTCCAATCTTCAGCCTCCTTTAGACCATTGGAAGCCTTAGTGACTCCTAGTTACTGAACTTCAGTACCCAGGGCCAGGTTGCTTCTTGTCGCGATCCTGATCCAGTTCCAGGCCATCGGGAACATTGGGAGATATTGATTCAATCCTTCAGGTTCCCCCTCAAGAGGTTTAGGGACTACTCAGGTTTGATAAGTGTGTTGTATTGTCTTAATATCAAACCTTACCAACCCCTTGGAGTAAATCACCACAACAACGCAGTTCTACTACAATAAAGATTAGATGTTGTTATTTCAGTTTCAATTAATTATTACCTTTGTTATATGAAATTTACCATTCAGGTTATGTACTGTTAGGTACTTCAATTTTAAGTATTTATCTATACCTTCTATATTATTCCATAATATTAAATTTGCCCCTCAGGCTATATATATTGTTTCTTCAAGTTTAATTAATGATCTATATTTCTCTAATATCCCATAAATACATGCTGCACTAAATACAGGAAAATACTTGTACACTGGGGTTAAATGGCCATTTACGAAGGTACTGCATTAAGTGAGCTTCTTTATTAATTAATATTTCAGGTATTATTGTTGTTAATTGTCATTACTCTTTATTTTTTTTTATTTAGGAACTCAAGTTGAGTATAATTAATAATTATTATAAATAATATTGTAAGAACATATGGTTAGACGATTTCTTTTCTTGTTCTGTTCTGGTTCCAGTGTAATTCAGTGTTCCAGGGCGTTCGGAAAACTCACTCCGAACCTGCTCTAGAGTCAACCTATTCTGTTTCTAATTAAAACCCGTACCTGATTGTAGCAAAGCGTTTCACTTTTGTCCTCCCTTCTTGTTTACGTTTATATTTCAGGTTGTGCTGCTATAGGTCCGTAGAAGTTTCCTGCTTTCGTTATATCGGTTGATTTCGTGTACTGCAGGGAAAAAGCAGGTGGCGCTCTATATTTAGTTATTTAATTGACCCACACCACTCTCCGTATTGGAAGCTAGTCGGCAACCCTATACACGAAATCACGTTTCTAGATTTCAGCCACCAACCAACTCTCTCTCTTCTCTCTTTATTTCTCTGTTTTAGTTACCCATTCACTATCTCCCTTCCTCAAATCTTATCATTAACTTCTCCCTTACGGTTTACGGGTAACAAAGTGGCAGTGTCCGTTTTGTGCCACGTAATAAATTGGCATGTAATATGGGACGCGAATAACTGGTAAAATTGAGTATGACCCGATTACTAATAAAATACTGGGATTCGTTCTCCCATTGGAAAACGGTGTTCCCAAAAATGATGCTTACGTAGCCACTTCTGCAGAAACAATCGAAGGCTACTTTCAAACAGGTGAAAAAGCAGATTATGCCTACTGTACATGGCGCAACCCTTCGATAAAAATTCTCCAGCTTACTGTTTGGCAGTATTTGGAACCAATAATAAATTTAATAGCCTTGATGTATCTATGAGATGGACGAAAATGATTTCAGAGGCCTCAGCTTATGGAATTCAGATAATTGGTTTTTCTTCTGACGGAGATACCCGGCAATGAAAATTGAGGCAAATTTTCCGGATAAAATGACCGAAAATCAGCAATGGTTCCATATGAAAAATAATAACAAGTTTCTGTGTTTCCAGGATCAAACACATGTTTTAACTAAATTAAGAACAAGATTTTTGAAGCCTGGAGTGAAGCTTCCAATGGGAAAATATATGGCAACAGTAGGACACCTTGATGATATTATTGAAAACAAATCTAAAGATAAACATCAGCTTACAAGGTCCGACATAAATTTGGAAGATAAAATGAATTTTAATTCAGCAAGGAAGATAAGTACTAAAATTGTGCAAGAATTACTAAGTGAAATTGAAAATAGTAATGCTACACAAATATACCTAAAAATGATGGACTATTTAATCGCAGCATTGATTGATAAAGCAGAGACTTTGAACAATAGAATATACAAAATTTGGTATTCCGTGTTTTTTCTAAGACTCTGGCGTCAGTGGCTTAAGCGGGAGTCAAAATATAGCTTACAAGAAAATTTTATAACGCTTAATTGCTACACATGCATTGAAATAAATGCACATATGCTAATAAGACTTATTGGACTTTTTAAAGAAAGCAACGTTCTTGATGCAGCTATGTTTTGTCCTTGGCTTTTCGTCAACCTTGTGAGGCGATGTTTAGATTAGCAAGGTCTTTAACGTCAACATTTTCAACCGTAGTGAACTTCAGTATAAAGGATATTTTAGGCAGAATTGACCGGATATCTTTCATAAATTATGTGATGAATGACTTGAAAAACGCTTATATATTTCCGAGAGAAACCAAAAGAAACAAAAAGCAAAGTGATTATATGGTCAACGAAGACATCTTAAATAATGTAGAAATAGAGAAAATTGTGAAAACCGCTTTAGAAGACGCATTAAATGATGCAAAAAATTTAGAAATGGAAGTAACAGAGAATGACCGTTATTCATTAGACATTAAAGAAAGTAAGAATCTCATTGACAATTCGAGGATTTCTACAAATTTAGATCTAGATCACGACTTAGACCTAAACTTAGATGAACCAACGGATTCTGAAATAGATGCCGAAATTTCAAGACACCAAGATGAGCCTGAGAATAATTTGCAAAAACAGATTTCACTCAATGATTTTATGTTGGATACTGACGCGGATACTGAGGATAAAGAAGTGTGTGTAAAAGAAGATGCTATTAATTTGAAAGATTTTTCATACAAAAATATGAAAATAACAGAGAATAGTCCTTTTATAAAAATTAATTTACCCCAAAATAAATCTGCTGTAATAAAAAAATCGAGTTATTGTTGGTTGCTCAGTGACAACAACGGAAAAGTTAGCAGTGACAGACTGAAAAGGTTTATTGTATCGGGGAAAAAAAATGTGCTCAAACCAACTGTTAAAGAGAAACGAAAAAATAAGTTTAACAAAAAACAAAATCCAAAAAAAAGTTTAAATGGAAATCAGAAGATGAAAATTCTGTAAACGACTCGAAATATCATACCCTCGATGATACCGTAAATGTTATAGACTCGGACACGGAGGACGAAACATATAATAATGCAAATGATATAGTTTACGATGACTCTACGGACACAGAAACATTCTCAGACTTAGAAACAGAGAAAGATGCGATCGAGGACACAGTGGAAATCTATGATGAAACAGTAGTGGCAGATGTCGAGAATATGCATATTGACTGTGATTGCTACTATGCAGTGTTTTATGATGAGGATTGGTTTATCGGAAAGGTGCTAGAAAAAATTAAAGATAAATTCAAAATTACTTTTTTAAAAAAGGAACACAATAAGTTTGTATGGCCAGAGAAAGAGGACATTGCCAAAGTGGAACAAAAGTATATTTTTTACGGTCCAATTACTCTTTCGGGTTCCGACCTGGGTTCTGATCCATTTCAGCTAAAGCGAGTTGATTTTTTGAATATAAGTAAAAAATATAAAAATTTGTAGAAATGTACTCATAAAAAAATATTTTCAATTACCTGACGTTATTAAAACTGAATATGATGTGTCGTAAAAAAAAGTCCGACTGTTTAGTTATTAGGAATTTTGTATAATTATCCATACGTTTTTTTGTACATACCTATATCATATAGAAAAATATTTTTTCTACAACTGTCAAAAAATGATGATGTTCGCACACTCATGACAGTTTGCGAAGTGACACATTTTTTCCCAGGTATTGATTTTTTAACGTTTCCATGACGCCGTGCGCGAACTAGCTATTTCGCACACTAGTGCGCGAAATAGCTAGTTCGCACACTGGGTGTCATGGTGACACATACCTGTCAGGAAACCAAAAATAATTAAAATTCACCTACCTTTAATTGATAATGCAGTTTTGGCTTCGAATGATCGATATTTAAATGGAGTTGTAGAAAAAATATTGTTTGCAACTCGGGCGCGAAATACTTTGGAGATCTCGACTATTTTTTTAACTCGGCTGCGCCTCGTTAAAAAAATCAGATCTCGATGACCAAAGTAGCATTTCGCGCACTAGATACAAAAATAACTATTGCGTTATATTTTTGCTAAGGGCAATTATTTGTTTGGAGTCATGAAGATATATATTTTTTTAAATTATTATGTTAGAAAAACTCTCAGGAAAACCTATCTTGTCTTTAGTTTGTTATATTATTCATGAAAGATTGTTTTGTTTTTAATTTTATACAATATTTAAGTACCTAAACCAACCAAAACTATTTTGTGATATTTTTTGCAAAAGTTTGTGTTAGAATATATTTTATTTTGTTTTCAACATTTACCATTTTCGTTTATAGTTGTTGAGTTCCTTTTGTTTCCAAAGAGGTATTAATTAAGTATGTAAGTTTATTATGTTTTTTGAATAAAGCAAGCATCACATGATATATGTTGGTTTGCGTTTTATTATATACTCCTGGACAAAATTATCTCACCACCACTGCACATAAGCACCATAAGCAGTGGTGCGATAATTTTGTCCAGGAGTATAGATCTTGAGGTCATAAAACTATAATACGAATAGTTTGCTGGGAATTTTGAAAGATTTCGGGGAATTTTGGAAGAATTTCAGGGAATTTCGAGAAATTTTGGAGACTACAGGGGAATTTAGTGAAATTTCAGGGAATTTCCAAAGTTAGTAGGTATTTTGGGGAATTTCGAATACTTTTGGGGAATTTCGGGGAATTTTTTCCGGAAGAGGAATTTTGATGTACAATTTTTTGTAGTGATTTCCCCCTCGACACGGCCTAACTCATTCGATATCGGAATGTTTGAATTTCAATAATTTCAATTTTCATAATATTGTTTTAATGGTTTTCTGAATCTGAATGAAGTATTTTTGGAAGGAAAACAAAAATGTTGCAGTTTTCATTCACTGCAGGGAGGGCGGCCCCCCAAAGCTCTTTATTACGAAGCGCCACTGGAAATAATCCTTTGCTGCATTAACACATGAAGTGCCACGACCATTTTGGGTTTGTATCCCAGGGGGGCAAATTTTTTAAAAAAAAAATTTGATGGTTTTTGATATTTTTTGTGTGATTCAACTGTCAAAAAAGGTTATTGACGTGTTACCCTAATATGAGTGACGTGGCCTGCCACTTAATTTTTTTCTGGATTTTTAGCGTCCAGGGCCATAACACCCATATTTGGGTGACATTAGATATTTTATTTTCCTATTGATTTTGTTTTTTACAAACTTACTGAGAGAAAAACATGAAGAAAGAAGGAAGAAGAACATGAAGAAATAAAGAATTTTAGAGACCAAAAGCAAAGAATTTTACTTGTTTGGCTATATTGGAGAAGCTTCTTCTAGATTCATCCGCGAATCAATAGTGACCAGCTTTTCAATGAAATAAAGCCGAAAACTTAAGGTTCTTCGTTTCTTTCAGAACATAAAATAAGAAACCAAAATGAAAAAACGGCAAAAAGCACTAAGCGAGAAAGAATAATCGGAGAACTAGATTTGGATGACAATGAAGGAGGTGTTAGTTCGGACGATTCAATAGCAGATCCCCTATGGGAATATTTTGATGAGAGCCCGATCGTATCGCAGGAGTCTTCTGGAGATGAAAGTGATCAAAATGTCAGTGAAGAATTTGAGGGCAGAAGAAGAAGATGAGGAAGAACAGGAGGAGGATGAGGAAGAGGAGGGAAGAATAGTTGCGGTAAATGTAACAGAAGGAGAAATTGGAAAAGATGGACAGTATGAGAATATCTGGACAGAATTTGAAGGACGTCAGAAATATCTCGAATTCGTAGGACCCTCATGATTTGCAAAAAGAAATTCCAGAATATGTATCACCTCTGGACGTATTTCTAGAAATCTTAGATGATGAAGTCCTGGATAACATAGTGACAGAGACTGAAAGATTTGCTCAACAGACTATAGCGAGTTCAAAAAAAAAAAAAAGTCTGCCAGAGTATCCAAATGGAAGGATACAAATTGTTACGATAAATTTATCATTTACGTAACGTGTTCCATCTCTTTTAATTTTCATTATAAAGTTCTATTTTTGCCATTTCAGAATCAGCAAAATAATAATTCATAATTTAAGTAATCTAAAAGTATCTACAAAATTCAATATAATATCAGTCAAGATATGAGTACTGCCATCTATCCATAATAAGCATAGAAATTCAAATATCTGTTATTAAAAGAAGGTGCCGCCATCTAGTACCTGATAGATTTATTATTTAAAATATGATTTTTATTATTTCTCATTGACAGTTATTCGTATCTTCATTTAAAGAAGTTATATTTGTCTCACTTTTAGCAAATAGATATATTTCTGTCTTTCCCAAACTTCTGATTATGATATGATTATTTTTGGCATAATGACCTAACTAATTAATGTTTTTTTGTTTTCAACATAAACTTAATTGAAATTATTGTAATTTGTGAACATTTAAAATAATTCGAGTGGGTTTTTATCTATTCTGTTTTAATCAACGTGGTATTTTGTGTGTGTTGAGTTTTGTCTTCTGATTGGTCGATCTGGTTAATACGCAGTTAAGTATAAAAAAACACAAGATTGGTTTCCTGCAGGGTTTTGCTTTTAAAACGGTCTCTTTTCTGGCCAACCGGTAGACAGGCAAGTTGATTTCATTTTTATAATTTTTCTTTCAGATTTCTAGATTTTCCCTTAATAATTTTTCAATTGACTTTACCATCAGTGTATACTACCATATCACTGTTGAGTTTTTACCTGATAAATCTTATCTTATCTACTTTTGGAATATAAATATTATATTTTAATTTTTTATCTAATTGTGTGCATCCATTTTGTGATTGGTGGTTCCACGTTTTTCTGAGGTAAGTCAATTCAGAGTGTTGGGCTAATAAATAGGTACTGCTGCTCTGGTTTTCAGAATCAGTTGTTAGTGCGGGATTATTGGACCATTTGCTCTAAATAGAGTCAGCGCAAACCAAATTTGTATGTCCATCCCTATCAACTCTTTACTGAATCCAGGCAGAGGCCTGTATAGACATTTTCTGTTTGACTCCTTCAATCATCTTCTTGAGGAGACGAGTGCTGAAAAAGGGTGTAATTTTTAAAATACAAATCTGGATAGGTCAAAAATTCATTTAAAAAGTTTCAATTAAAACATCTCAAGAATTTTGACAGTTCCTGGATTTGATGGATTTCACCCTCAGGTTTATCTTGTAGTACCTATAGTAGTTACACAAACTAGTGAAAATTTTCAAGATTGAAAATCTTCTTCGTGGGGTTGCAGTCAAAGTTTTTTGGACCAGGGACAAAATTAAAATTGTCGTCTCGTTGGAAGATAGATGGAACACCATTAGCCAGTTTTGTTCAATGCCTTGGATCTCTTTTAGAGCTTTGTTACAGTTCGTTTTTGATTCCAACTATGTTTGCTTTAACGATCAATATTTCAAACAAATTTTTGGCACACCGATGGGTTCAAAGATCTCGCCTATTTTGGTAAACTTCGCTCTGGACGATCTTGTCACTTATGTTATCAATCAATTGCCTTTTCATATACCTTTTGTAAAACGATATGTGGACGACCTTTTGCTAGCAGTTCCGTCAAATCGTGCAGAAGAGACACTTAATATTTTCAACTCCTTCAACCAACATCTTCAATTCACAGTTGAATATGAATCGAATAACAGCATCCCTTTTCTTGACATGAAGGTGACTAGAACTGAAGAAAACACTCTTAAGACTAGCTGGTATCGTAAACCTATGTGTTCAGATCGATACATAAGTTACCTTTCGTACCATCCCATGAACATGAAAATCAATCTCATAAATGCCTTGAAAACTAGAGCACTTAAACTTAGTCATAGGGATTTCCAAAAAGAAAGTCTGCGCATATCGTAAACAAATTTCTCCATAACACCTCACTGCCCCTCCCAAGCCAACCCACAACCCAGACACGGGGATTGGTCACAACCCTCACTCAACAGCACACCCCCATCGACCCCCTCTCACAATTACCTCAAAACCCTCTTTCCACAACTCAGGGCGTAATGGCGAATGTCCCAAAAATCAGGTTTTTCTCGCTCCCGTTTGTTGAGGGCCTTACCTCACGCTTGACAAACGTGTTCTGTGATTTTGAGGGGATCAAGATTGCGAAGAAGCAACGTAAAACAGTTTCACGACTATATACCAAATCCAAGACCCCCTTAACTGCCGCAGAAAGTTATAATGTGGTGTATAGAATAGAGTGTGACGACTGTGACCTAAAATATATTGGCCAAACTTCCAGAAACTTGAAAGGCAGACTTACGTCACATAAGAGTGACTGTAGGAGAGAAGTCCAATCAAGTGCTCTCTCTGAACACACAACTGAGACACACCACCAACCAAACTTTGTTGACGCTGAGGTTTTTACCACTGAAAACAATTATTATAAAAGGATTTTTTTAGAGATGGTCCATATTCACAATGAACCCAATGCAATGAACAGAAGGACAGACATACAAAATCTCAGCAACATTTATTCATATCTCCTCAAGTTACACCGAGCTACTATCTCCCCAACCAATTAATTTTTATTTTTCTAGCTAAAAAATCGAAGGTACATACCAAGGGAATTTTTCAATAATGTAATGTTTGTACTGTTCGTGACGTATTGATGTCTCCATGTTTGGTTCTCAGTGTTGCCACCTACCACCCAATTTTGTTTTCAACGACGGTTGACTGCAGTTTCCCTGGTTATTTAATCTGTTGATAGGATAGATAACTGTAATTTTAACTAGATCCATCTATGCGCATACACTTAAACCAATTTTGTTTAACTATTTTAGCTCGTCTTGTCTATGTTTGATTTTTCAATTTATTTATGTTACTGACGTTGCGTTTTTTTTTATAGGTATTTCTGTTGTATGAAATGGTCTTCACTCTCCATTTTGTTTTCTAGATTATTAAGTTTAAAATAAGACACAATTTTGAATTATATTAATAATTATCTAGGACAGAGCATAGTGAATTGGCTCCTCTTTTCTGGCTTATAAGGTCCGGTTTTCCTGGTTTAAAATAATTGTTACCCATGATGTTTATATAATTTGAAGGAAATAAGAAAGAAAACAGATAAAAAAAACAGGGTTGAAATTTTCCCAATTACCACTCACATTTATCTATTCTTGGATGTTTCTGGTCCCCTAGGAATGCTTCTTTATATTTTAAGTAAAACTAAGTCGTAAGTTTTTATTTTATTACTGTGTTTATATTTTATAACAAAGAAATATTGTACAACTTTAAGGCTGTCCTGAAGAAGGCAATAAAGAGTTGCCGAAAGCTTGACTAAGCAACAAATGTTTTAATTTTGTCCCTGGTCCAAAAAACTTTGACTGAAACCCCACGAAGAAGATTTTTAATCTTGAAAATTTTCACTAGTTTGTGTTCTATACTAGTCAGTCACGATTTCCATATTCTATCATAGTAGGTACCTTAACTTAAAAGGAAATTTTTTCTATTTGGGCAAAATCTAGAGATTTATTTTTTAATTTTTTATCTGATTCAATTTGTTATACCTTTTTTTTTAATTTCGCCTGTTTATTGCGACTGCCAGAAAAGCAGCATCCTGCTCATTTATAACGAGCCTTTTAATTTAATCTTGCTGTTATTACCTATTTTACTATTTACTATTATTTTATCATTATTTTCAATTATTTAATTGTTTTTTTTTATATTAAAATATTTTTCCAATTTGCAATAGTTACTCATACTTACCTGATTCTGTTGGAAAGGAGTGTCTGCGCAACAATAGTTTTGTAATAAACTAATTTCATTTTAAATCTTCTTTGCAAGACACTCGCTTTTTAACCGAACTAGGTCACGAGCGCGCTTCGCGCGCTTTTTTTTTAGATCAAGTCCATCAAAATAATTATAAAATGGAAAATATTTATTAGGTGTTGTACAAAAAACAGCATAATTTTTGATTTAAATGTACATTATCACAGCCTCCTACACTTAACAAGCCATGAAGTTAAAAAGGCAACACCGCAATCATACCGCCAAGTGGTGCTGGTGCTGCTTGTTTTTATAAATATATATTTTTTATTTTGTTAATATGAATGACAAAAAATGCATCATTTATTGTACTAAAGGGCCAAAAACAGTAATTCAATGAATAATATAACTATTTGTGTAAATAATAACAGTAAATAGTTGATTTAAATGAATATATTTCTAGATTCTAAAGTGTTATAAGCCTATGTTTCAGTGTGTCTTTTGAAAATCTAACTTTTTCTTTCTTCGGGATTTTTTCGGAAGGCAGGTCCATTCAAATACTTGAGCTGATTTTTGAAAATAACAGGTACTTTTAAGAGTTGGACGTTTTAGTTTGAACTCTCGAATTACTCCTTTATCCTTGTTTGTTTCAAATCTAATTAGGTAGGTATTTCGGTTTCTTCAAAATGTTTACAACACACCACAGAATTTTTCGTTATTGTATAATCTCGGGTATAATTATTCTGGTGTATTGCTTTCATCCACAACTTTTGCAATTCAGAATTTTTTTGGAAATGAAAATGTTTGCATTACTCCAGTTTTTAAGGAACTCCTATAGTTCGTTTTGGACCCAGGAACGCAGTAGTTTCATGGCATCTGGAACAAGTTTAAATATCTTAGGTAATATATCGAGAACTAT